AAACGAAAATCCTAACAAAATTCTGCCAATGCGCCGAATTAAGGTGCTAGCAAGGATACGGGGATATGGGATACAGCAAAGTTCATATTTTTTAGAGATCAACAAATCGTTTTCAGAGGAGATGTTTACAAGCGGTGCAATCTCAATAAACCGAAAAGTCTCTGCTTCTGTTCTCTCCTTAGGCCTTGGAGGAGGATATTTGAACTCTTATCTCCATCATAATTATCGTAACGTAAGTCAAAATAGACTATGATCTAAAAATTGTTTTTCTTGCAATTTTCAGTTGAATATAACGGTCGTCGAATATGACCCACAGATGCTGAACATATCACAGAAGTGGTGTGGTTTGAGGTTGGATGAGATGCACAGGGTGGTTGTTGAAGATGGTACAGAATTTGTGAAAAATTGCGCTGATAGAGGTAGCTTTGCTTTTGAAAACTATAGGTATACCGGATAAGTTGAGTTCGAGACAAAGGCTCTGAAGGTCAAAATTCGGAGGCATGTTGTTCAAAAAGAATTTTTAAGGTGAAAAATACGATGTAATTTTCTTGGATGCATGCCACTTAGACCATTCGTCTATGTTCATTTGTCCGGCTCAAAAGTTTGTCGCTGCTTATATAGCAATTGACTTCGCCAGTATACTGAAATCAAACGGTAAGTTTTTGTACATGTCGAGTGTCTCACTGAAAAATCGGCATCATAACGAATAAAGTTTGCAAAAAACCTTCATACTCCAGCGTTCATAACTACTTCATACTAGCCTTTATACTTCTTGTCATTGAAGGAGTGCTCATCATAAACGTTCTGGGAAGCCGACAACAAACTTTTAGTGAAGCCCCCAAAGAGGTAACCATTTCGTAAGTTTACAAATTTTCAAAGATTGATTTAGCTGCTACGCATATACAACGAAGCATTCAAGCACTGCATTTTCAAGAAATCACATAGCCCTTCCAATCTGGTAAGTTTGCTTTTGAAAATCTGAGAGCCTTTTTTGCACTATATACCGTATATCGTGACTGGCTACTCATGAAAAATGTAACATGTCTTTACGTTTTGCCTTGCTTGCATAATCACTATCAGAGAAAATCGCGTACCGGTCTACCCTTTTTCTCAAAAAAAGTCTGCGATTACGGTAGCATGCTGTATGTGGCAACAAAAGGCCCTAGATTCACTGTGCATTGTACATTTAGGTATACATCATCATTTAGGTGATGACATGCGCACAATATCCTATAGAGAAAAACTTACGGGAAATGTACGAAGGATTTGCTAACTATTCTTATTATGGAGGACACGTCAGCGAGGAATGGTTCCTGCCAGGGTACTCGTACTAAAATCAGTGTGCGCTCATCTTAGACAATAGGTCTACAAATACAGTACCTTTCTAGTTGTGCAGGTCTATTTATGTGCGAGACTTTAGT